CGTGTATTATATACAGCAATAATACTGTATATATACAGCAATAATAATATATGTTGTATGAGTTCGCAGCGGATGCCAAACCATGCCGAGGTCGCCTCTTTGAAAAAAAAACTCAAGCGCGCTTGTTCGAACCCTTTTCATTGGGGCGCTCCATTTCATTACAACAGCCCGGAGGTAAATTCAAAAGGCTCATTCTACTACGATGAGCATCGTTACAACGATGAACTTCATCGTTTATATTGGAGTCATTCGTGATGATCAATAACTAATAAGTTATCGAGTAGCAGTTAAGAGAATCCGTTCAACTAATTCTTACTGGTTTCACAAAGTCCTCTGAAACAAATTTGGATCTACTAAATAAGGTAGAGAACTCAACTTAGGGGACTTTGTACTAACCATAAGGATGCCCTACTTGGATCGTGAGTCGCACTATTCTCTTCCTGAGCTCCTCTAGGTCCAAGACCATTACTAGATGATCCTAGTATGGTACTGCGATGGGAAGGTCCGTATGAGGCCTCTGAACCAACTGTGGCAACGGGATAGCAAAGGAGCGCCCCAATGAAAAGGATTCAAGCACATTACACAGATATTACATATTACATTAATTACACACAATACAAATACATTTCTATGTATGTTATATGTTGTTGCATTGCCCATACTGAAAATGAGTGCGCGTTCGGAGAGCGGAGGACATAATGATAGAGACAGGGCCACTAAGATAGTGGATAACATGTCGTTCTTACGGTGGGACAGATTCAGCCACCCTTCAATCTAGAGATTTCCTACATTTCGAACATTTAGACTGAGAAAGTATTTTGTTGAACGCGGATTCAAGAATGTTGAAAAAATTAATGTGGTCACCCCTATGACCTTGATTAATACACAATTCAGCCTGAAAATAGCTTTATGATAGCAGGGCAAATGATTGCAATTGATAATCATCACTTCTAGCTTGAGATTCTCCGAAATGTCAAAGTGCAAAGCCAGAGGCTGGATGTACGGACGACCCTTCCCCCAAATTTGCGCCAGCCAACTCTGCGTCTCTACCGCTTCGGGGATCCCCTCGAGTATAGCATACGGCCGCTCTGGGGGACGTCCCCCTGGGGTGTCTTCCCCTAGAGGGGACCCCTCCCCTCGAGGGTGAGTATAGCATACGGCCCCTGGTTTCTGCAAATTCCGCGGTTTTTCAAATCGACAGGTAGACCGCGTCTCACATGACGGTGTCGCGGAAATTACGAAATTGCAGACAGGAAATTTATACGTAGCGATGTGAAAAACCGTATTTCACACGATTCCGCGGATTTGCAAAAATGCTGAAATGACGGACAAAGAAGTGACAGGAATCGATAGCTTAGCCTCACCAGCGGAATTTCTGCATTTCGGCATTTCTGCACATTCCGCACTTCTGCATTTCTGCAAATCGGCGTTTTTTGAAATCGATAGACATATTCCTCTTCTTCGAGTTGCAAATTCCGCAGTTCTGCACATTCCGCGGTTCAGAATTTCTGCATTTCTCTCCGCGTTCTTGAGACCTGTGCATATATTTCTCTTATCCGCAGTTTCGTCATTTCTAAAAATGTCAATTGTTGTGAATGCGGCCTTCTTTTGTCTTTTTTCTGAGAACAACGAGTTCGCTTGTCTGTTTGTAGTCACCTGTAACTCATCGACTACGTGCTTTTTTTTCATCCAGTTCTTTTACATTCTGGAGATGTGTATGCTTTAGTTTCGCAGTCTTTTACATATTTTCATCGTTTCAAAAATGTATGATTAGAACTCATAGCCTTAAAGCGTCCCTCCTGTTCAGATATTATTTTTGTCCTTCTTCACTTTTTTCTTTCATAAGTAACCTATTGTCAGAACGAGTATATCCATGTTTTACTTATTGCTATTGTATTCTCTTGTCCTATCGTTGATGCGCTCACACTGCCGTGCGTGTTGTGTTATGAACAGTAACCAATTAGAAACAAACAAAAAAAAAACAAATTATTGGAGAAGGTTATCTCCAAAGCACAAGATGAATTGTTTCGCTGTGTATCGCAGCGAATCAATCGTATGTCTTTCTCCACCAGGATCTTCCAGTGCATAGGGCTCGCGAATGCGAGGACGGGAACTACCCAGTGCGTGCGCTTTGCAAGACTTTGTACAATATTAATAAACACGCGAGAATAATGTTATAAAAACGGTTTTACATGCAAAATTCACTGCCAGCTCGAACGCATGAGGTGCAATACGCGCACCGGCCAGCCGTAGCTAACGAACCAGAGCCGGCGGTTCGCGGAGCGGGCGAAAACAATGGCATACGCATCGGATTTCGCTGAGCGAAAACACCCAGGCGCGCATCGACTACCATGCGACGGAGGCGGAATATGACGCAGTTTGGCGAAACGCTCGTCGATTCATAACAAAACCCTTTCGCCCAACCGCCAGTCGATACGTATCGAAAGCTTTTCGCCGAAGCGTTTCCTTCTAAACAGACGCTGGGCCGCGGACTGTGAACAATGCCTAAGAGGAAAGAAATTGGATTGTTATTAACAGGGCTACAACCAGTCTGAGGGGGATTGCAGGTATAAGGACACTGTTGAGCGGATTATGAATAAGTTAAAAACCAGTAAACAATGTACTGTGGTAACCAGAGGACAATTAGGTTAATGAGAGAATGGGGTATCCTGAGGTCTTATGTTATGACGTCTTATTCTTCAACAATGGTTAATGAGAACTCAGTATACTTTTATATGGGTGAGCTTTCGCTGCGTAGCAGCTCTCTTCAGACCTACAATAAAACGAGCATACAATACTATAAACCTTACAACAATTAAGTTGTCCAGTAATGTACTAGACCAGCTCCTTGCATTAACAATAAAGTTGTCATGTCTCGGCCCCAATACCATTTACTAGAGGCCTATAACTGTCGACCACACTACTACACGCAAACGACCTACCCTAGCGACACATCCAATACAACTGAAAGTACTCAGCAATGCGACGGGCGTGACAGTTGAGAGGACATTCTTATCACTTCTTATCACAACCTTATCAATCGTTCTTATTAGTATTGTATGCTCGTTTTATTGTAGGTCTGAAGAAGCTGCTACGCAGCGAAAGCTCACCAATAAAAGTTATATTGAGTTCTCATTTACCATTGTTGAAGCAATAAGAATGAGATTAGTGCTTGAACACCTCTACCCATAATAGCCTTTCACCACGATCCCTATGTCTAGGCCGGTTTCCATAGCCTGCAGTTCTGAGAAATGCAGAATGCGAAAGTGCAGAAAGCAATAGATAACTTATTGACTTGAAGAAATTGCCAGAAATCCGAAAGTGAAGAGCGGAATCGCAGAAAGGTCGATAAGTCGCGGAATCGTACCGTATCGGTTGCACTTTTCTGACACCATTCCGCACTTTCCGGGGATTTCGCGATTCGCACTCTCTTCACTCTCTTGCATTTCTTGTTTGGAGCTGCCTATGCCTCCAGACTCTATCACATTATTAGTGCTCATCTAGACACAGTGAGGATATTAACGATGAATGTGCTCTCAGGCCCTGGTAATGGATTGTATTAACTCTGTTGAACCAGAATATCAGATAGCAGGCGCCAACCCGTCTGTTGTTTGGAGGGCACGCCCCCTTTTGTAGATTATGCTACCACTAGCGCGACGCAACCGACAACGTCAACACATAAACGAACTGCAAAACAAGCTCATAGACTGGTGAACGAGCTCGCTGGGATAGGACTCCTCCCGAGTTAAACAACCCGGACCATAGCCTTACTCATCACTGAACTTATAATCTTGAACTTATTACTACTTACCTACTACTTCACAATTTACATTAAGGGCAGATCAGTCCAAGCGGCCAATCTAGACAGGAAGATCCCGTCGCGACCACAAAAAAGTACGTGTTCATCATCTTATCTAGTATCCCTTTCAAATGGTGCTCGCAACTATGGCATTTCTACTTCTTATAATACAATCATACGCATCTATCCAACTATGTCATAACGGTATAGTTGAAATTGTTGGGAAAACGTTCCCCTACGAACTATGTTTCAATGACGAGTGTCGCAAGTTCGAAGGCGATGGCATTAGTAAAACCTACAAGTTGTTTGCTTCCCCCTTGCGCAACCGATGTTACCATCAAGTACTTTCAAAATGAAAGCCATACCACCTTCTCCACTATATGCGCTAATCCCGATTTCTGCTCGAAATTCCAATCTGCTACTAAGCCCATCATTATTGGGGAATCCTCACTGCTGGCCGGTGGGTGCTGTTTTGAGCGTAGCAATAATTGCCTATCTCGCAATGCTTATCATCATCATGCCCATCTGGCTGCTCATATCACTCATCAGGCCGAAGCACACGCAACCCCCAGCTCAAATCCAAGTAAACTGGCAACAGCACATCGCACGCTGAAAGCGCAACACCCCATTTCTGGAGCGCAACACCTCTTAGCGGTGGGGCGCTTATTGCCTTGTGCCTAACAGTAGCAGCGACAATCCCGGGGGCAACAGCGTGCCAGCATGGCTTTCACAAGGCATGCGACTGACATAGTCTGCAACCAGGATGCTGTTTGCAGCTATGAATTCAGCAGGGAACTGCTGTTTAATAGAATACAAACGCAACATTGCATAGAAATGCGTTTGCAGAACAAAACTGTAGGATTACTCAAAGTAAAAATTACAGCTGTACACTTTGTTTGCTCGAAAGTCTCGAAATTTTTCACCAAAAGCACAGAGCTCAGAGTTTACTCTAGCGTTAGATGTGCTCAGGCGGGTTCCTGCCACGGAAACGTATGCGATCAAACTCGCCGTAACGAAACCGTCTCCGAGCTGTCCAGAGCAAGAAAGTACCCAGGATATTCGGGATGCCAGTACACCTGTGGAGGCTTAAGTTGTGGATGCTTTCTAGCGTCCCCTTCATGCACCTTCTATAAGGTTGCCCATGTACCCATCACGAAAGATATATTCGAGGTCATCGAATGCAGAGATTGGGTCCCAAATGTTCAAATAGAACTGGAAACCACCCTTTTCGGGAAGACTGAAAAGGGAAGCCTCATTTTGGAGCCGTATGTAACCTCAACATTTGGCAATTTTAACATTACAGCTGTATCAGTACAGAAGCCAACACTATCAGTGCTTGGTAAAAGATTCGCCGTGTCACTGAACAAGTCTATGATCTTACCAGATCAATTCACCGTACCGGTCGAATGCTCCACATACGAAGATGCACTCACAAACTTCCGCGAGTGCGTCAATAAAATAATCTGTGACTGTAACACGGGCTGGACCAAGCACCACTGCCACTGTCCAGAAACGTCACTTCGACAAATAGGGGCCGACAGTGACCACCTTTTGCCGCTAGTCACACCTTCAGTGGAAATACGCAGTACTGGCAGCGAAATATTCGCTAGTTCAGCTGAAGTTGAAACCACTGTAACCGTTCAGTCGAAATTCCTCAGAAAGTGTCAATTTCGCTGACGATGAAAAGTGCACGGTATCCCTCAGTAGCTTAACAGGGTGCTATAGCTGCATACAAGGTGCGGCAATTACCACGCAGTGCAAAACCAAAGACCCCACAAAAGTTACCGTAGTCTGTGGACATCATTCATTCTCCATAGAATGTGGTTCCACAAGTCCGCAAACCAGAGTCAAGCTCAGTTACGACTACGCAATGGTTTCCCAAAACTGCGTTGTCGAATGTGGAAATGAGAAAATTACTCTACCACTGAACGGTACTCTTCTATACCACGTTGAAAAACACGATTCGGTGTTCGATTTCAACCATGAGCACTATGAAAAACAAAGCTTTATAACATCGCTATCAGAAATCAAAATACCCGATATGGGTCCCTTAATGGACACCATTCGCGCCCACTGGAAGCTAGCCATCGCCTCTGCAACAACTGTTCTAATATTAGCAGCTCTATCCTATCTATTTGGGCCACTAATCTTAATTACCGCAGCAGGTTGTTCTCTTCAGCATCATTAGATATATTTTCAGTACAGTTACCAAAGTTGTTCATGCCGTTGTAACGAGCTCCGAGTAACATTTAATTAACCCATTAACTTAACTCTCTATTTCACTACCTCTTCACGTGCCATTATCAACTGGTACGTCCACCACTTCCGAGCCGTTCACACTCATCAACGCCCAGCAAAGGATTCGTAACACCAGTGCATCATCACAACCTCAAGCAGCCCATCCGCACGAAGGAAATTACAAAAGGCCCGTTTACCCCATTTTTCCCACCTCACTCGATCACTCGTTTCCCATTTCTATCACACATCATGAATTAATCTCTACCTTTCATGTAATCATTGGCAGTGAAAATTATTGTTTTAAGAATGGCAAATAACACACAGAAATACGATTTTTTTTATAGATTGGTATATAATGATATGTTCACTAAAGGAAAGTTTATCTTTCCGGGGGAAGCCGGTCGCTAAAGACGAAACGGGAGCGCATTGTTTCCCTGATCATTCGCTGAAGTATGGAAAGAGAATCCGCAACTATTGTAGCTCTACGCTTGAGGCATAAATCGGCGGAATTTTGTCGAAACTGATATCGATTGTATGGGGCCTGCCCCTCCTTGTTGAATGGGTCAGTTGTGCTACCTTCTTCTACAGATGAACTTTTTAGTGACTCGTCAAACAGTTTTGTGACATCTCTTGCTTGCTCGTCTTTCCCTTTTTCATGGGATCTGCCAGTGTCAAGAGTTCTGCGACTTCTATGTCGCCTGCGCCTGTGACTGTTTTTATATTCTTGTGGCGCCGCTTCAGTCTTTGTCGTATTTTCATGGATGTCGCTGAATCGAATGTCGCCATCTAAACTATACGTTTCATTTACTTGTTCGTTGGGAAAAGGAGATCCCTTTGAGGGAAATTTTGACTACTTTCATTGGATATGTCTTCTTTAGTGACTGGTAGAGTACTACTAACACATTCTAATGCGAGCGAACTCGCAAAACCGTCATTGGTCAGTTTTGCTGGGTTCGGAACTTTTTGGATGCGGAACAGCCGACATTACGGTTAGTAGACCGGCATCCCGATAAAGGCGTTACATTGCCAGCCAATTGTAATATTATTAGTGGCTAAAGTTGAATCCCCTGCACTACTGTGTCGCGCTGTACTCCTCTCCCAAAACCTAGGGAACGGGCGCCTATTTTGAATGGCTCGCAAGGCAATTCCTGTTTCTACAATTTGCATGTTAATTTTACAGATCGCGCTACCCGTGCCTATTAATGTGTTGGAGTATTGTGACTCATTATCGAGTTCCTCAATCTCCTCTATTATTTTTTGTTGTTCCGCTAGTGGTTCTAAAGAAAGGCAAAACTTTTCCAAACCGTCGGTCGCGCTTTCAAGCTCTCCTGTACCGCGCTGGATTTGGGACAGATGAAAATTCAAACATTTAAGGATTCCTACGCATTCTTCTTGACTCGTGTTATGGTCATATGAATACGAAATACCCTGGTTATATGCCTCGTAGTCGCTCAGAGCCTTTTTTGCCCACTTGGACCTAATAAATATTACTTATCCTTAGAGAATCCAGCAACATTTTTACTTTTATTTGGGTTGAGCTTTAGTGAAATGAGCTTTCATTCAATATTCTTAAGCATAGAATTAGCTAAGATATAGATAAGTAAAAAAAATTCAAAGGTACCTGCTCGGGTTTGTCCCGGCCGTTTGCACCAGAAATATGAAGGTTTATATACCTTTATTGACGAGACGGGGTGGTCTCGTTGTAGTTGCGATGGAATACAATGTAGTTGAGACGGGGTGGTCTCTAGGTAGTCCGAGACGGGGTGGTCTCGGTGATAGTGGTGGGTCCGAGACGGGGTGGTCTCGGACCGTCAGGTAGTAGAATGCTGACTTAATCTAGGCGTGCCTCTCAATACAGGAGAGGTCACGCATCGAGTATCTAACTATTTACCTATGGGTCATAATCACATGTCTCAATGTTCCCTATGGGTTATACATATCAATCAGTCAGTCTTAAAGGATGCACCGAGCAGGTTCTGGTAGCAATCCAGAACAAGTCACAGTATATTGGTTTGGCAGTCGTTTATTGTTGACTGCTCGGTGTGTCGGCTAGTGGTAGAATGCTCACAAAAAGGGGCGTCCCTCAAACAACAGACGGGGTTGCGCCTGGTCTATCTAATCTGTTCACCAAGGGTCATAAATACATTACCAGGGGCCTAAGGCAGCATTCTACTATTTGACGGTCCGAGACCACCCCGTCTCGGACCCACCACTATCACCGAGGCCACCCCGCCTCAATAAATCCATTACGACAACGACTACCGTCATAATGGATTGCCACCAGAACCTCTCCGGTGCATCCTTTTAAGACTGAGTGATTGATATGTATAACCCATAGGGAACATTGAGACATGTGATTATGACCCATAGGTAAATAGTTAGATACTCGATGCGTGACCTCTCTGCTGTATTGAGAGGCAGGCCTAAATTAAGTTAGAGCACTTCTTCACTTTCGACATTTCTGCATTTCTTCACGAACGCAAGTATGAACGCGGCCTTGCTATTATATATAGTAGGATGGGGGTCGGTCGTTCGGCGCCGGCCGGATTGCCATTGGGGCACATCGGCTGTAATTGCCACCCACCACCCTGCCGATGCGACGCGTTTCGTGGGTCGGACAACTCGTCCACGTTTATTAATGTCTTGGTTGACGTCTTGATCCACCTACGTTGGCAGTGCGCCAACATAGACGACCGATTGCGTCCGAATCTCCTACTCAACCATTTTCGTCCGTTTTTGAGCGATTTTTTTGCCCTCTTTCGCCTCGACATCCCTTACTTAATGCTGGTTAGATATTAGGTTGACCGGAAAGTTTCCCGCCATTGAATTGGTGAGGAATCCAACGGCCAAGCTTTGCGACTTTACCAATCTTCTCCAGCCCAGATTCAACAGTTGATTGGGCATGGCCGAGCATCGCTGCAAGTTCCCTGGTAGTGGCGTACGGATCCTCTTCCACGGTGGATTGCAGCAACTTCAAGTCTAACTCCATCGGCCGGCCGGACCTTGGAGCATCTTGGAGAGAAAAATCTCCTTTCTTGAACTTGGCCATCCAGGTCTTGCACGTATCGTTAAGAAGGTAGCGTCAGCTCATATGTATCCACTATCTTGGCTTGACTTCCTTTTGCGTTTAAGCCATGATGAAGGAAAAGAAGACAGTGCCCGCAGCTGTTTGGAGGCCACGTGAATTCCAAAGGCGTTCTCCACTCAGGCCGCGACTGGAGATGACTTCATATTTTGGTGTACATGAAGGTGAATGGCGGCAGCCGGCTCCTGCTTATAGAGGAAGACTTGGGCTATCTTTTCGCCCTTGTTACTCATATCCAACTTCCTCTCTGGCGCTGCGAAAAAACTTCGCTCATGATGGTGACTCGGCCGCGCCGAATGACTTTTTTTTTGCCCCCCCCCCCCCTGTTATAGTATAGATATGATTATATATATATATATATATATATATATATATATATATATATATATATATATATATATATATATATATATATATATATTTATTTATTTATTTATTTATTTACTATACATATATATTTATTTATTTATTTATTTATATTATATTTATATACAGGGGGGGCAAAAAAAGACATTTCGACCGAGTCACATCAGCAAAGTTTTCGCAGACAGAGGACGTGGATACGAGTACCAGGGCGGAAGATACCCAAGATGTTCCTCGATAAGCAGGAGCTGGCTCTCGCCCATCACCTTCATGTACACCAAAATATGAAGTCATCTCCAGTCGCAGCCTGACTGGAGAAGACCTTTGGAATTCATGTCACCTCCAAACAGCTGCGAAACTTCTAGTATGGAGTCACCCATGGATAGCTACCTGGAGACCAGTACTCTCGATCTGGAAGACCTCCATCGAGCAGCTCCGACAACGTCGCTACGGTCTAGGACATCATCTTCACCGCAGTCGCCAAGGCGCGGTTGATGGTATGGACCGGACGTACCTGGAATGGAAAGACCGATATTTTCTTCGTGGACCCCGGACTGAAGGTGAGCGCTGGCGGTTACATTGGGCAACTCGTGAAGAATATCCTCCTCACATGTGGTCGCCCGTACCTTCTTGGAAACTTTGTACTGCTACAGCATTGAGTGCCACCACATGAAATCGAAGGGCGTTGGAGAAACACTCGCCTACTTGGAATGGAAGGGGCTGAGTACCTAAAGAAGATGGAATATCCAAGTAGGTCACCTGACCTGAATCCCCTCAATTACCCGGTTCGGGCGGAGTTCAATAGGGTGGTCTACGGTGGCGGAGAAATCGACTATCTCGCTGATCTCAGGCACCACATCGCGGTCGCGTGCCAGAATCTCTCGATGGCGCTCGTCCAGAAGGCTGTGGCGGAGTGTCATGATAGTATTTGATATGCTATTTAATACCAGTCGGCTCGCCGGCTAACGCCGGCGCGCCTCCTTCTGATACGGCCCGGCTGCGCCGGGCGAGCGTGATATCCGCCTTTTGTTCTGTACTCCACTTTTTTCCGGTGTCTGAAGTACTCTTGAGCTATTTTACAGATTCTTCGTCTGACTCCGCCCACCTCGGGCTGGCCCCGCCCACAATATGTATACCCCACATTTCTCAATCGGCGACCCCTTGCTGACCTGAATTCACTTTATTCCGGTCTTCGGAGTGCTCTGGAACCGTTTTACAGACCTTTTTCATCCGGAAGAGAGAAAAA